TTTCCAAAACTAAAATTCTAGTGTTTTCCAAGATACCAACAAACGTACATTTGTACGTCAAGTGACAAATAATAGAACAGAAACTTCCATAAAGTATTTGGGAGTAAATATCAACAACCAGTGTAATCCAAAAAAAGAAAACACTCATTTCAACATGAAAACATTTTTTACAAGATAGACGTTAGCCTAGAGCTCAGAATTCGAATGATCAGATAAGGTGAGGTAAAAAATATGAATTACTCCAAATCATATTGGAAGATAAAGTTCTTCTTCAAGTGCCATCTTCGTTCCGAAGGTTGGCGATCATCAGGGCTATACGTATTTTCGAAACTGCTGACCGAAACAATTCGTTGTTGCTACAGCTATACCATTCCCGTAGATTCTTTAGCCAGAAGTTTCATCTTCTTCCTATGGCCTTTACGACCTTTTACTTGCTATTTTTCCTTGCATAATTATTCAAAGCAGTTCATATCTTTTGCCTCTTTTAATGTGTCCCAAGAATTGCAGTTTTTGTTTTTTGATCGTAAATATGACTTCCTTTTCTTTATTCATTCTTCTCAAGACCTCGACATGTGTGACTCTCTCGGTCCATGATATTCTCAGGATTTTGCGATACATTCACAGTTCAAATGCCTCTAATTTTTTGGTGTCAATCTTTTTCAACGTCCATGACTCCATTGTGTAGAACAGCACAGAAAGTACGTAATACCTCATCGGGCGAAGTTTCATTTCAAGGCTCAAATCTCTTCCGCAGAACACTCTCTTCATTTTAGTGAATATGGATCTGGCTTTTTCTATTCTTATTTTGATTTCTGCTGAGCTATTGTGGTGTTCATTTATAAAAGTGCCTAAATATTTGTAGTTGCTAACTCGATCGATAATGTTATTGTGTAAATACAAATTTTGGACATTTTGTGTTGATTTCGATATTACCATAAATTTAGTTTTCTTTATGTTCAAAGATAGCCCATATTCTTCGCTGCAGTCTGGTACCTTATTCACTAATGTCTGTAGCTCTTCAAGTGTTTCAGCGATCAGAACGGTGTCGTCGGCAAATCTCAGATTGTTTAATCTAACACCATTTATTTTAATACCTACGGATTGCTCAGAGAGTGTTTGTTCTATTCATTCATTATTCATATCATTCATTAAGTCTTCGGAATAGAGATTAAACAGCGTTGGCGACAGTATACACCGTTGTCTCACACCTCGCTTTATTTCAATTTCTTCAGTGGTATTATTCTCTACTCTCACTACTGCTTTCTGATTGCAGTACATATTTGCTATTAGTCGGATGTCTCGTTTATCTAAATTCTTTTCTGTCAGGAGTCTGATTAGGTGATCATACCGCACTTTATCAAAAAGGCTTTGTTGTAATCTATGAAACACATGAATACATCTTGATTTATGTCAAGACATCTTTGAGACATAACGTTTAGTGCAAACAACGCCTCACTTGTTCCGAGTCCATTTCGGAATCCAAACTGGTATTATTGATGTCCATTTCCAGTTTCTGTGTACTCTAGAGTGTATAATTTTCAGGAATATTTTCAGTACATGGCTCATCAGACTCATTGTACGGTAATCACTACATTGTTTGGCATTTATTTGTGTGTGGTATTTTTCCTGATGTATAAATGCTATTAAAAAGTTCAACTAAAATGTGAATCGAGTCTTTTTCTATTAGTTTAAGGATTTCCGTTGGTATTTCATCTGGACCTGGGGGCTTTACCATTTTTCATTCTTTTTAGTGCGTGAATTAATTCCTCTTCCGTTATTTCTGGACCTTCATCTCCTTGTATGTTACTTAGCTCAGATTGTTGTCTATCATCTGCAAAGAGTTCTTCAATATAGTTTTTCCATGTCTTCAACTGTAAAGTGCAGAGCAAAAAATTTGTTGGAAGATGCCAGAACTCGTGGCTGAAAAACCTGAGGAGATGGTTTGACCGCTCATCCACAGAAATCTTTCGTGCAGCACTTTTTAAAGCTACAACTGCCATTTGGATCGCCAACTTTCGAGGAGATGGCGCAATAAGAAAAAGATGGTAACACCACACTTCGCTATGTGTTATTTGGTATGCCGCTTTTTTGTATTCGTCCAAATATTTGGTATTCGTCAGCGACTAACAAATACGCTACTCCACACTTCTGCCGACGGGCCAAACATGCCAAATATTTGCGTCATGCATGTTTGACAAAACCAAAATGGACGTTGGTGTATTGACATGGTCTTTGCAACTTAATTTATTTAAATCCAGAAATCTCATTCTGCTTTTATTTGTCCACTTCATTTGTCCATTTTATTCGACATATACATTTGGCGTGCATTTGGTTTATTCGTGTCCTTTGAAGTGTGTCGAAAAAGTGAACAAATAGGCGTATTTGTTCCACACCTCGTCTTAGGTGACCGAATATGGCGCATAACGAATAACACATTGCAAAATGTAGTGCCGCCACCAAAATAAAAAAAGTTTAAAAGCAAATACCTTATCGATAAGTCACCTATATCTTACTACAATGCATTTAACAATTTTAAACATCCTTTAAAGGAATATTTTAAATCTGTTGAATCAATAATACAGCCCAAAATGTTGTTTTTGCATCCAGAATCTCAAACAACCCGATCTGCAACTACCTCTCACCTAAGTCGGTAGTCGAATAATTTCTTAGCTTCTAATAAGAACACTAAAAAACCTTGGCCCAGCAATTAATCATGTCTAATGTATGTCCTACTATACCTAATAGCATAATTAACGAGCACTTAAAAACTATGGGTATACAATCCGCCTCCAAATTGATGTTTCTAAGAGTAGGAATACAAGATCTGTCGTACAGTCACGTGCTCAGCTCTAGAAGCAAATGCTCATAAATCCCTTAAAGAATGCATCAATTCTAAACTCATTTCTAATTTCGTTCGAGAATACAACATATCGACTAGATTTTCAAAGACGTTTTAAATTGCTCCAGATGAAAGATAGTCCCACACCAAGATTTTGATTGTCATTTTTCATCATCATCATCAAGTAGCCCAATTAAACGAATGAAAACTTACCATCACGTGAATATACATAACTCTGCCAAGGAAAATTTAACGATCGTCCAAACATGTGTTTTTCTTTTCACGAAATTTTTAGTACCTATAAACCTCCAATTGTAATTTTTTCTTAAATTTGGACTGAAATATTTTATTTTCACGAAATTTGCAGGACATAAAGGCATCCAACTGGCATTTTTTTCTCATGAACCGTTAGATGTCGAAAAATTCTGAGTTTGGGAGAAGAACGAGCGTTTAATTTTATGTAAGAAAAGTGCAACGGTTTGACTCTTGGACCTAAATTGATGCCAATGTACCTGATTATTGAATTTTAAAAAAATCCAAAGGTACACCCTTGGTCCATTTTTTGGCAGATTAAAATTAAAAAAAGTTTTTTTTTTGTGGTGGTCGATGTAGTTGGTCCGGATTATTTTAAACATGTGTTTTTTTCGTATCTTCTACCCTTAGTTTGGTGGAAAGAGGGAAAAAGCAAATTGAAAAAGTTTCAGCTTTTTCCATTTTCTGGTTAAACGGTGCATTTTTTCATAAACACATGTATATATAATTTTTGAATCGGCACGTCAGCCTTAATCAAAATATATCAAACTTGGAACCTTGGAACGAAATATTAATAATTATTACATACCATTAATATTTTTAATTGTGATTTCCAAAGTGTGCGCGCCATCTGGTATGAGATGAGACGATAATCGGCGACAGTATCTATATAAATGTTTTACACCCACTGTTAATCTATCTGCCTCCAGATTTCGCTGAAGAAACGTATTTTCCGAGCTTACGACAATCCGTTGTAATTCCCCATCGAATACTTCGTTCTGATTAGTGGTAAACTTATCATTTAATTGTATTAATTGTCATTGATCTCCTAAAGCCATCTATTTCCAAATTAGGGATTCTTTACTTACATTTCATGCTCTATATACTGGATATAATTATACTCTCATTCGCACTGTTATGGTGTAATACATGCCATACATCGAAAGCCGATCTCTTTAGAAGGGATTAAATTAAATATATTTAATATTATTAGTACCATTCAATTAATATCAAAATTTAATTAGGTATATTTTGAAGAATTTATTATATTTTATCGCCACCTATCCAAAAGTCTGTAAAGTATGCAACAGTAGTTTAAAATATACACTGATAGATGGCGCCTATTTAATATATCATCTTATACTATACATAATTATATACAATTTAATTATATGCTTTGATATTTGAATTTCATAGGGTTTGAGCTTGGAACCAAACAAAAGCAAAACTACAAAGATCACAATTTTTAAAGGTTTATTTGAAATTTCATTTAAAATCTATTGTAGAAGCAACAGAATAATTTTACCCTACTCTTACTTGAAAATAACAATGGTCTAATAAATTCAGTATATAAAAAGCCCTTTTTAGAACGGATTAAATTTAATATTTCGAAAACCGTTAACATTTTATGCACTACATCAGTTTATATACTCTCTGAAAAGAAACTGCAGGAAATATGAAAACTGAAGGTGAAACTGAATATGAAAGTCTGAGGTAATTCACGTAAGTATACTTGAGAAGTGCCTACTCAATTCATCACTGCACAAATTTCTTGGTAATTTCTTACCGACATTTTTGCATAAATATTTCTGATTTCTATTTTAAATCATTTTATCGTCTTCAATATTTTTTTTATATGAATATCAGGGAGGGTTTAAAAGAGGAAGGTCTACAATTGACCAGATTTTTACGATGAAACAAATATTGCACAACAGCTACGCACAAAATCTTAGGTCTGCACACTCTATTTATATACTTTAAGCAGGCATATGACTCTACCAATAGATAATTTTGACAACCAATAAGAAGACATCTGAAGATGGTTTAGCCGCGTCTCTATCAAGGAAGCAGGAAGTAATTTGTTGATTTAGGTACTTTTGAATTCTTGCATACTCTTAAAAAAATATTTAAAAATACTTTATATCTTATATTACAATTTAACATAAACAATAACTAATTAGAATATGATCACAAAAAATATTAACATACAATTTGTACATGTTTTTAATGAGCAGTACCATTGCTTGCATCTCTTTCGTCCAATTTTTTAGCGTGAGTTGTTGTTGATCTAGAATCTTGCGTATAAGGGTTGCGAAGTGTATTAAGTTTCATAATAGTAACCTAAAATAAATAACAGAAAATGGTATTAATCTTCAGTGTTGGCAATGCTTCAATCTAAAATTATCAATTATTATACCTAGATGTAAATTACATATCTTTATATGTAAAGAACTTATGGGAAAGGATATTATTTAGGATAAATCCTAAAAACCGTAAAGAACCTGTTTTTTTTTTGGGTGGTTTAAAGGTAATTTGCCCAATTGTTAAGCGCCTTAAAGGCCTTATTTAATTTAGAATATAATATATAACCCATAAGAAACCTTAATTTCATCCATTTTGAAGTACAAAATTACACAAAATGAAAAAAAAACATGGACCTGCAGCCACTTGTAAAAAATTGTTACATTTTTTTTTTTGGAAAAAAATGCATTTTTTAATTATGTATACTCAACCTGTGAGTCTATAAAAAATAGACAAGTTTTGTAAAAGCCTCAACTATGCGTAAGTTTTGTTTTTTGAAATTTTTAAATTGATTGCATCCAAAAAAAAACAGAAACAAAAAAATAAGTTTTTAGTGTTAGAGAGTGGGAGTTGGAGGTGATGAGCTAAAATTGCGATGAGCCTTATTTTTTAATCACACTGATCGTAAAAAAATGAAAAAAAAATTAAATTCCCATTAAACGGGGTACCGTTTGTGTGCTGTGTGAGTCACGGCATACATTATTTCTTACTCAAATATTTAACAAAAATATTTTATCTGATACTCGAAACTTTTATCTGAAACGATTTCATCGTTTCTTTACTTACTCGGTAAGGTGAAACGCGTGCGTCGTTCGCTCACGAGGCTGCGATTGTCATGATACTCTTGAGCCAAGGACACGGAGTGACGTTTCGTTGCGTTGTGACGTTAGTCGGTTTCGTGGTTCCAATAAGGCTCGCCTTTCGGATACCCGGCTAGCGTTAGTGTGCTTCGTTTCGAGCGTACACTTACCTCCAGCCCGATTCGATTCGAGGACACTGCCACGCGGGTTGTTCGACTGGGGCGGTACATCTGCCAAAAAATAACGGAGATATCCTAAGACCAGCTCAATGAGCTCAGCGACGTCAGAAACCTCGTGTAGAGCAAAAGGGCAAAAGTTGGCTTGATCCTGATGTTCAGTATGCATAGGGACTGCTAAAACACGGCCTATCGATCCTTTAGGCTTAAATTTCTGAGGTATCAGAAAAGTTACCACAGGGATAACTGACTTTCCAAGCGTTCATAGCGACGTCGCTTTTTGATCATTCGATGTCGGCTCTTTCTATCATTGCGAAGCAGAATTTGCCAAGCGTTGGATTGTTCACCCATAGACAGGGAATGTGAGCTTGGATTAGACCGTCGTGAGACAGGTTAGTTTTACCCTACTGATGACTCGTCGTTGCGATAGTAATCCTGCTCAGTACGAGAGGAACCGCAGGTTCGGACATTTAATTAAGGCACTTACTCGAGCGGGTAATGGTGCGAAGCTACCATCCGTGGGATTATGCCTGAACGCCTCTAAGGCCGTATCCTTTCTAGACAAAATTAGGCTTAAAACAATGTGACTCTACTAGGAAATCGTAGTTCGCTACGATTGTCGCACGAGCCCTTATTTCCGTTGAGATTATCGGTTTACGGTGGGATCGATCCTTGCCAGTAGACCAGATCTTTAGACGGACGAACATGGGTATTATAATCTTTTAGATGCTGGAACTCGGAATTGTCTACTGTCTTTACACTGACTTTGACATAATAAAGTAGATATGTAGAACGGCATGTAGAATGCATATTATAGATTCCCTTGTCTACTAATTTATCAATCTGTTGCTTTGCAACTTGTAGAAAGCACAGTGGTAAAAATTTGAATTTAGTTTTGCCAAATATATATTATATATATATATATATATATATAATATATATATATAATTATATATATATAATTATACGAAAGTTTTTTTTTTGTGGTTCAAAAACAGTTGGGGCGGAATTTAGACACACTCTATTATTCTAAGGTGTAAAATAAAAAAATAAAGTACTCACCCGAGTAAGTTCTTTTTGACTTTCACAAGTTCCTCTACAGAATAACTCCTGTATTGATTTTCTAAATTTTTTTGATAACGCCACATATACGATCGGATTCAAAGCAGAATTTAAATGACCCAGAAGAAGTAAATATCGTTTTAAGTCCTTCAGTTTTATTAACTTATTTTGAACATCATTTTCATCAGGATTCGTGTCGCTTAGATCACCTTCTTGGACGTCTGTATCATTAAGTAAATTTGCAATATGATGCGGCATCCAGCAAATTGCAAACATTAGAGCTAATAAAAGAAGAATGCAAGCTACCTTTTTTCTTGTCCGTATTAGTCTTTCTCTCTAAAAGTATTAAATTAGAGTAGAACACATATAATAAAATAAAGCATTTGATAAAGTAAGACACGACCTACTATTAGAACGTTTGCAAGAAGTCGGTTTAGATGGAAAAGACATCAAATTCTTAAAAAACTTTGTACTGGAACCAAAAAGCCAGAGTTAGGATCAAAGGTTCCACATCCGCAGAAGTAGAAATTAGGAGGGGAGTTAGACAGGATGTGTTCTGTCGCCTCTGCTGTTTAATCTTTACTCCGAGTTTCTATTCAAAGAAGCATTGGAGGATTCCAAGGATGGAGTCAAGGTGAATGGCGTAAATATCAACAGTATCAGATACGCCGATGATACAGTGTTAATTGCGGATTCCGACTCAGGTCTACAACGACTCATCGACAAGACCAACTCGACCTGTGAGCAATTTAGTATGAAAATAAACATTAAAAAAACCAAAGTGATGTCAATCCGAAAAAACCAAAACGTACCTCAACCTTGCACAATAAATGGACACATCTTAGAACAGGTCAATAGATTTAAGTACCTGGGATGTTGGATCGATAGCAGCCTAAATCCTGATCAAGAAATAAGATCGAGAATAGAACAGGCTAGAAAATCTTTTAAAAAAATAAAAAAACTGCTTTGTGATTCTCGAATAAAACTCGAAATTCGACTACGTTTATCAAAATGCTACGTCTGGTCGACTCTTCTATATGCAGTTGAAACGTGGACCCTTAAAACATCAACCGTAAATAAATTGGAGGCCTTTGAAATGTGGGTTTACCGGAGAAATACTCAAAATTTCATGGACATCACATACCTCAAACGAAGAAGTGCTGCATAGAATAGGCAAGGAAAGGAACTTTTTAACACAGTTAAAAGTAAGAAAAACATCATACCTAGGCCACATACTGAGAAATAATAAGTACCAATATGCCCAACTTATAGTGAAAGGAAAAATCGAGGGAAAAGAGAGGCCTAGGAAGGAAAAGACTATCATGGCTCAGAAACATCCGACAATGGACAGGGCTAAATTTTTGAACAGCTAATAAGAACAGCTGAAGCTAGAGAAGAGTTTAAAATTGTAGTAGCCAACCTCCATTGAGGAGAGGGCACTTTAAGAAGAAGAAGAAGAACACATATAGATGGTTGGAAAGTGAAGAATTGAACATATATGCTTTTACTTAGAAATAAAAATGTAATGCTTTTTAATGAGAGTAGAAAAGTCTTTTATATTGGTAACCGCGACACAGTATGACATTTACGATCATTTACGAAGAATCATATACAAAATCAAGTTTAATCAGTACACAACTTTGAATAATATTTAAAATTTTTATATCGTCTATAGAGGTAAAACTCATTAAGTGACATTTTAGCTCAAAACCATGTTTGTATCAGTAAGTAACCTTTAACATCTAAACTCTCGCGTGGTAAAACTTACTAGGTGTTACGTCCAATAATAAAGTAGTTTTAAGGTCAATTCAGACACATCAGTCACGTCTCGTCACAGTGATTGCGCCAAACCGAACAATCCGTCATACAAAATATTCTTTAATACAAATATGTTGCCGGCTTTCACACTCACCAGTTGACAAACAGTTTCCCAGCTGTCAGATAGTTGATAGTTCTGTGACCAAACAAGACCGGTTCGGCGCCGAGACTATGACGGGACTGATGTGTCTGAATCGACCTTTAAGGTCAATTCAGACACATCAGTCACGTCTCGTCACAGTGATTGCGCCGAACTGAACAATCCGTCATACGAAATATTCTTTAATACAAATATGTTGCCGGCATTCACACTCATCAGTTGACAAACAGTTTCCCAGCTGTCAGATAGTTGATAGTTCTGTGACCAAACAGAACCGGTTCGGCGCCGAGACTATGACGGGACTGATGTGTCTGAATTGACCTTAAGAGTCTTAAAAAACTTTCAGTGCACTTTGTTTACGTTCGGCGTGATTTTTTACCTCTATGGTAATACTTTTAACACGGAGTTTTGTAGTTTGACAGCTACGTACTTAATAAGAATTTGAGGTTAGGTTTTAGTCTCTGTGGTTGTTTACAGTTGTTATTAAAATTGTTAAAAGTATAATATAGTGTAAATATATGCTGTCTCTTTGTAAGTTTGTGACTACGCTTATTTTAATTTTAATAAATCCCTAAATAATATCCAAAATGAGAAAAACTTATGCAGACAAACTTTTTGATCCATCAAAACCTTCTACAAGTTCTGAGGTATGTGATATCAAGGGAAATAGTTTAAAATTACTTTAAAACAATTAAATTTTTATTTCAGAGATTTCCAAATCGTATAACACGAATGTTTGCCAGTTCCAAAACTAACAGGATGGTCGAAAGTGTATTAGGTACATAAAGAAAATGAAGAACCAATGACACTAACAAAAAATGTAGATATCTACTTCTATAATAACTTGTATATATGTAGTTACCTGAATTTTTTATTTAATTTCCAGAATCAACAAGGGATAAAAATAATTTATTGTTTACTGAAATTAATTCCGAAAGCCTACAAACCAAGGTCAATTATTTATTTGGTCACATTGAGGCTGAGAAGATTGTTCCAGACCAGGTAAAGAAACATATTATTTATTATATTTGTTATCGAGTAATTCATAATCATCACAATAATCTAGTACGATGTTGCGTCCACTGCTGGACAGAGACCTCCATAAAATTACTACATTCGGTTATTATCATGCAGAGACTAATTAACTTTTGTATTTCAGGTGCTGAAATACAAAAGATAGGTCGGTCAGATAGCTCAGCGGGCTGTGCGGCTGCCTCTCATTCGCTTCACTGTCGAATGGTTCAGTGGATGTGGGATCGAGCCCAGCTCGGTGTACAGAAAACAAAATGTCTAACGCAGCAGTTTAAAATTCTAGATGAATCTGCGGCTCAGACTAGGATATACTGGATCTGATCGGCCTATGGTGGAGCAGTACGGCAAGAGATAAGGGCTTGCGGCTCGGTGATACTCCTCCATAGATCCCTACCGGACGGGCGTAACGCCTAAAAAAAACCGGATATATATATATATATATATATATATATATATATATATATATATTTCAGGTGCTGAAAGAGGATGTTGCTGACATCGATATGGACACCTGTTTCAGACCACCGAATTCACCTCTTTCTCCGACAGCAGATATCTCCGATTTATCAGACTTCGCTGAAGCTACAGAAGTTAATACAAAAAACTGGTCTCAATTTTTTTTTTCAAAAATAAAAGATTGTAAGTCAGTTCTAAATGTTTATCTATCAATCCAGAAACTCTGGTAAATATGATAAAGACTAGACACAATATTCTGCATTACTGATCCTTGCTATTTGTTGATTTTTTGTTCTTCCAACCCTATGAATGTAAGTTTTTAACGTACCTGATACGTAGAAGTGGAATCTTCATAAAATTGTGTACCACAGCAAAGTACTTTACCCATAGTAAAATAGGCAAATAACATGATTAACCCTAAAAACAACTTATATTACTATAACATAAACTATACCAGCTAATATTGCTGGTTCAAAAAAGGCTTTTGTAATCAATCTATGATTCAACAAACATGGTTTGCAAACGAGAATGTGGAGAGGATCATTTCAGCTTAAGAAGACAAATAATAAAATAAGCCAAAAACAGTTAAGAATAATAAATAAAAAAGGCACTGTAAACTGTAATATAGAAAAAGACCGCTAAAGGGGGTGTTTTATTTTCCTCTTTGTCACAGAAGTAATGGAAAAAAATAACCGATAGTCTTGCTAAAGAAGCTGCAGCTACTTATTTTATCAAACAAGAAAGATAGCGATACACAGAAAGGTCATAAAGTAAAATATGTTCGAAAATTAGAAAATTATCTCAATTACAACCTTCTACTTTCCACGTCTGAAGAGAGAGACTTTTCATGCAAAAACACTTTTATAGCTTTAAAAAATTGAAGTTAAAGTAACAGGTAGTTTGACAATACAGACATGTTCACTAAGATATTATCATCATCTTCAACAGTGGTCTGGAACCAGTAAACATATAATCTGAAATTTCAGAGTAATTTCTCGCTATTGCCATAAATACCTCTATTCTAAGTCTCTAAGTCTAATTCCTCGCTCAATTCTATATTTATCGGCATCGGAATTAGACAGGGCGACACCATCTCTCCCCAACTATTCACTGCAGCTCTGGAATATGCCTTTAAAAAACTAGATTGGGCTAAAAGGGGAATAAATATTGATGGTGAATACTTAAGCCACTTGCGCTTTGCAGATGATATTGTCATTATAGCCGAGAGTTTAAATGAAGCTCACGAAATGATGGAAGAACTAAAACAGGCAATAGAACAAATAGGCCTGAACATAAACTTTGAAAAAACAAAATACATGACCAATTTAGTTCCAAGTGATGTTATGAGGGTAGATGGGAACGAAGTACATCAGGTCTTTAGCTATATCTATTTAGGGCATGAAATTAGAATAGGAAAAGACAATCAAACTTGTGAGATCCAGCGTCGCATAGGCTTGGGATGGGCAGCATTTGGCAAGATGCGAGATATTCTAAAAGGAACGCTACCGATTTGCTTGAAGAAAAAGGTTTACAACCAATGCATACTGCCAGTAATAACATATGGTTCCGAAACAATAACTTTAACCAAACATTCTGCAAATAAATTGAGAGTAACCCAAAGAAAAATGGAAAGAGCAATGTTGGGAATAACTAGAAGAGATATGGTACCAAATAGGATAGTGAGAGAGAGGACTAAAGTGACAGATGTCATAGAAAAAATTGCACAAGCCAAATGGAGATGGGCTGGACATATAGCACGTTTAAATGATAATAGGTGGACCAAAAGACTCATAGAATGGAGACCTAGAGAAGACAAAAGACACCGAGGCAGACCACCAAAAAGATGGATTGACGACTTGAGAAAAACAGTCGGAAATTGGATACAGAAGGCGCAAGATAGAGAACAGTGAAGAACATGGAGGAGACCTATATCCAACACTGGATGCAAGAGGTTGAGGAATGATGATGAATGATGATGACCATAAATACCTGACAGTTTTTTAGAACCTAACTCGGTACCAAGATTAGTTCTGAAGCGATTAGAATAGTCTTGTAGTCATGCTTGTACCGAATCCGATGGGGTCGCGTCAAAAATTTGCTTATGAATATTATAAAAACAATATCTAAAAACCACAATCATACCACAATAATAAACCACAAAATAACACAATTTATTTTTATATGTGCGTTTCAGTGTTTTATAGGAAGTTTTATAACAACTCACCTGGTATGAGGAATACAAAAACAAACCATAAAATTCCCATCACGTTCCGTGAAATGATGAAATCCTTCCAATCTTCCTTACAATAATATACTATTATGTCATTGGAAAAAGTAGGAAAAACATCCTCTTCTAGTTGATTGACCCATAATACTGGTGAAAAAATTATCATGGAAAGAATCCATAAAAAAATAATAAGAGTAATTGTACCGCATCGGTTGAAAGAAGGGTATATCAATCCAAATAACGGTTTAGTAATGGCAAAATATCGGTGCAACGACATGGCCGTAATGGTTAATATACTAGTTGATACTGATACACCTAAAAAATATTTGTTTTATAAATGGGTGAAATTTGTCTGATCTAAAGGTATTTTAAGTGTTGTAAATACAATACAAATAAAATGACCTTCTATTGACAGTAAACAATACCAAATCGTTGTCTATGGCACCGAAGTACGATACATATTGCCGCCTTTACACGTGTCAAGCAATTTAAGTGAGTAACTAAATCAAGTGACTAGATTAAAGAGCACTTTGCTTAAGTAGATGTCTATACGCATGTCAGTAAAACTGTTTAATACGTTATGTTCAATTTTTCACATGCGAAAAATCATGTCGTTCTTTAGCTGTATTAATTACTATTATTCTACCACAATTTTACAATTAGTACCTTACTCCAGAGCAACTTAGCTAGAATAAAGAAAACTCAAAGAGTTATGGAAAGACAAATGTTGGGAATATCGTTGAGAGATAAAAAGAGGAACGAGTGGATAAGATGCAAAACCGAAACAACAGACGCTGTCGAACATGCATTGAAATTAAAATGGATATGGGCTGGGCATAACGAAAGATATCAGGATAAAAGATGGAATAAAGAAATTGGCCGCTGGAGACCATATACTGCAAAAAGGTCAAGAGGTCGAGCGCAAATGAGATGGAAAGATGACATTGAGCAAAGAGCAGGTATAATGTGGAAAAGACCAACAGAAGACAGACACAAATGGAGACAAATGGGAGAGGCCTATATTCAACACATGAATAGGTTTTGGGCTGTAGATAGATAGATAGATCTTAGCCCAACCCTTGATAATATTTCCTACTCCAAACTTCAACCTCACTCCATTAGAAAAACGACTTTCTCTTGCCTGTTGCCTACCGTTAGTGTCGAGTTAATAGGTACTTAAGTAATATGTTTATTTTAAAAATCCCCTTGTAAATCAGCGTATCTAATCTCCGGCTAAGGGCTGGTGAATGCACTTAATTTTAATGACTTTCGTCTGAGAATATAGGGTATCGAATATCATATAGTATAAGAGTATATTCAATTTATGAATTTGTTGCTTGTGTGAGTCTATTTCAAATAGGTAAAGAAATAATAAATCAGACTTACTCACAATCAATTTAATTTAACTATCCGACGACCGGTTTCGCTTTCTACAATATGCAAAGCATCTTCAGGTCTCGGTACAAAGTTAAACAAATGCTGAAATGATAAAAACCCATATTAGGGTGTTGTCTAATAAAGATAAACAAATTAGATGTTATAAATTACAATAATTATGCCAATATTACCTGTATGTGGTTTTATTTAAATGATTGTGTTGAATAAAAGGTATAAATATTTTTTAAAAAAGTTAAAAGGACAAGGTAAGGCCCACAAGTTGTCATAAAATCTCTTCTATTGGAATAAATTAATGAATGAGCAAATAAATAAATGAAATAAAATAAAATTACTTACATGCCGGTACTCTATTAATAGATGGATGGTAGAACATGTTTGAAACTACTGTATATTGTTGAATGGAGAACTCAATACTATTATATTGCAGTTGTTTGACAGTAAACGGGAAGTTCTTGAGGAGGTAGATTTGATCCAATGAATTTGAGATGTGTGTGAGATTGTTTGTTAAATGTAAGTGGTGTAATATATTATTGTGTTATTAAAAGTTATTTATACTTATTCCGGAGATATATTTTTGAAATGTGTGTTATTTATTGAGTAATTGTTTTATGAAGGTGACATTTATGACAATGAATAAGTGTAGATGTAAAATTGTGTGGGTGTGCAATTATTTCCAAACTTGTAGTTATCAAATTACTTTGATTAAAGTTCTATTGGCAATGTGTTAATTATCCATTATCCAATTATCCAACAATAATTATCCATTTGTTGCTTTGGATATATATTAGTATATTAGATATTAATATATCAGATTTTGAAAAATATCTCTTAATAATTAAAAAATACCCAGACAGATAACTCATACCTATATCAATTTCAAATTAAAAATAAAAACCTTGCAAACTTATTATATATTTGATTATTAAATGTACATGTTCAGTTGCCAGAGAATTTATTTTAAATGGATCATTAAGTTAAACATTAGACTTAGTCAGTTATTTTGTAGGATGTATTTTAATTAACCATATTTTTACACTAAATTTGATTAATTAAAGATTGTTAAAGTATGCCAATATTAAACACTTTAGTTCACTCAATTTACTTTAGATATATCTAAATTGAAACAGGCTTATAGACATTCATTATTAATAACAGCATATTTTATGAAACTAGATAACTTAACTTACAGTATTGAGAAACAGAAGAAGAACTGTCACATGCTAACCTACATCTGTCAAAATTTACCACTAAAATCTAATAGACACAACAACAAAAAACTCATTGTGCCAAAGACTATGATGTAGTGCTTTAAAGTCCTTCCCCTTTTAAATTCAATGTTTGTTTCGTCCCTTCTAAGTGTTTTCTGTTTTTAGTGTGTTTAAATTATCCTTAAGTGTTTGTATTTTACCATTTTTTACCATTTTATTCATTTTATTCACTTGACCATTCCAATAATTAACACATTGCCAATAGAACTTTATCAAAAGTAATTTGATAACTACAAGTTTGGAAATAATTGCACACCCACACAATTTTACATCTACACTTATTCATTGTCATAAATGTCACCTTCATAAAACAATTACTCAATAAATAACACACATTTCAAAAATATATCTCCGGAATAAGTATAAATAACTTTTAATAACACAATAATATATTACACCACTTACATTTAACAAACAATCTCACACACATCTCAAATTCATTGGATCAAATCTACCTCCTCAAGAACTTCTCGTTTACTGTCAAACAACTGCAATAATAGTATTGAGTTCTCCATTCAACAATATACAGTAGTTTCAAACATGTTCTACCATCCATCTATTAATAGAGTACCGGCATGTAAGTAATTTTATTTTATTTCATTTATTTATTTGCTCATTCATTAATTTATTCCAATAGAAGAGATTTTATGACAACTTGTGAGCCTTACCTTGTCCTTTTAACTTTTTTAAAAATATTTATACCTTTTATTCAACTCAATCATTTAAATAAAACCACAGACAGGTAATATTGGCATAATTATTGTAATTTATAACATCTAATTTGTTTATCTTTATTAGACAACACCCTAATATGGGTTTTTATCATTTCAGCATTTGTTTAACTTTGTACCGAGACCTGAAGATGCTTTGCATATTGTAGAAAGCGAAACCGGTCGTCGGATAGTTAAATTAAATTGATTGTGAGTAAGTCTGATTTATTATTTCTTTACCTATTTATATTCAATTTGTTTAGAGTTAGATTTAATCGAATTTATACCACCGACCGAAGGAAACTGAATAAAACTTTTAAAGTTACATTTGTGTATTTTAATACGAAAGTAATTTTTGTTATAAAAATTTAATTTTGTATTTTTTCGAACCAGGAGTCTCTTGCGATAATCAATCGTAGGACATTCCAAACGTAACAGCTAGGAATAGACGCACTCTCTTAACTGCTGAGTTTCGCTAGCAGCAGACATACTCTCTTCTCTTTTCTGTTGACTATCGTTAGCAACAGACGTACACTCTCTTTCTTGTTGACTATCGTTAGCAACAGACATATTCTCTCTACTGTTGATTGTCGCTAACAATAGACATTCTCTCTCTCAAACCGCTTATAAATAAAATACCACGAATACTCTTTTAAAATCGTAAAATCGTTAAAAACGCAAATGTGCTATATCTCGTGATCTCAGTGTTAGTACCACAAGACACGTGTTCAGAAATCGGTAAAGACAGCTTTCCTCTACGCAGAACAACCACAAAGGAAAGCCTGGAAATACTGCGAATGTGCGTGCAGTATCAGTATTGATAAGACATTGTGTAAACTTGATTTGTCGTAGTCCTATATAACCCCTTAGGGGATTAAATTAATATTAGAAGATCAGATCAATGTATTAGTAGACTTATATAATATTATATATAATACGGGTATTATTCCGAGAGATTGGCTCAAATCAATATTTATTACATTACCAAAAAAACCTAATGCAAGGGAATGTAATGACCACCGTATAATTAGTCTAATGAGTCACACACTAAAAATATTCTTAAAAATTACCCATTAAGAATTTTCAGAAAAGTGGAGCAAGACATCACTGAAACCCAATTTGGATTTAACGTCCTCATACAAAGATGTATGGATGTAAACCAACCACTCTATGTTTGTTAGATTAAGGCGTTCGATAAGGTCCGACACAACCGTCTTATACAGTTACTTAAAGATAAACACATTGACAAAAAAGACTTAAGAATAATAACTCATCTCTACTTTAACCAAACAGCAAAAGTCAGAGTAGGCAAAGAACTTTCGAAGGAAGTAGAAATAAAAAGAGGCGTAAGGCAAGGTTGCATACTCTTTCCCTTATTGTTTAATCTATATTCGGAAGAAATAATAAAATCACTCAAAAATGTACCAATTGGAATAAAAGTCAACGGCAGACATCACATTATGCCGATGATACTATACTAATTGCAGAGAATATATAAAATCTACAGACACTTTTAGATAATGTAGTAAACGCTAGTGAGGAAAGCGGACTAACGCTTAATCCTAATAAAATAAAATTTATGACAATTTCCAAAACACAACAACAAGACATTTTAAACATAAGAGGAGTTCCAATAGAAAAAGTAAAAAAATACAGATATCTTGGTACAATTATTAATGAAAATAACGAGTATACAGAAGAAATAAAAATGAGAATTGGACAAGCTAGAGCAACATTTAATAAGATGAGAAAAGTATTATGCAGTAGAGACCTTAGTTTACAACTCAAATAAGAATATTACGTTCTTATGTGTTTTCGGTGCTGCTGTATGGGGTGGAGGCCTGGACCTTAAAGAAAGAGGTGAGCGATCGACTTGAAGCATTCGAGATGTGGACCTACCGAAGAATATTAAAAATAAGTTGGGTAGACCGAATAACAA